TCACTGAGGACAAAAGATAGGAAACACTTGTAAATCCATTTTCCATTCACTGAATACCAGCTGTTATCAAGAGCTGAGAATAAAGCAGAAACTGAGAGACCAGACTCCGATTGTAGATAACACCAAAACAATTACCAAATTAAACTTCAACTTCTGTTTTTGACTTCTGAATGGACTATAAAGTCACACTTCCTGTAAAAAGACGGTTGGTGGGGTGGGGTTTGACTTTGACTTCACAGCATTTGAAAAGTTGCACACAATGAACTTTATTACTGCCAGGTAATTATCTATTTTATTCCAAACATCAGTAAGATCTGTGAACAATCCAGCTGTTTAACCCTCTGTAATGTTTCCTTCGCTGAAGATGGTGATTCTAGCTGGGGCCAGAGCTATGCCAGCCTTCATTATCACACAAACAGCTGCTGCTTGTGTGTGATTTGAGACACTGGGGGTTGGAAGGGATCGTAAAACAGTCAAATCCTGATCTTCCCCAGTACCTGCACAGGCAGGCTCCATAGGCAGAGGGGTTACATGAACTAAAAACAGAAAGTGCTGGAGAAACTCAGCAGATCTGGCAGCATCTGTGGAGAGAAAAACAAGGTTAACGTTTCAAATTCAATATGATTATTTTCAGAATAGTTTTTATTTCAGATCTCCAGGATCCATTGCACTTTGCTTTTAAATCATATGAACTGTGGTTCTTACACATTAAGGGCCCAAGATAATCCCCTTACACAGCAATAATAAAATAAATTAAGGTACGGAGGAAGGAAATCAAATGGATCAGCAAGTAGAAAGAAATGAAATATCATAACAGTGATGTAAGCCATTGGAAGCAGTGTATGATTTTTAAAGAATACTGGTGGTAAATGTTTTATGTGTGAGAGTAACTGTCCGTCAGTGCTCACCAAAGAAGGCTATACACACACATTCCAGATAAGTTAATGCTTTAAATAAAATGTGTGTGGAGAGATAATGCATGTAAAGTGACAGACATACGTAGTGCCTGGGATATGTGGACTGAATGGAATGGCACCTGTCACTGAGCTGCAGGCTAGTTTTGGCCACAGAGGGATTTGCCTTTAGCTCTCAATCTGGCCAAGCCTTAGTGCAGAATTGCAGAGACATGTGCTAATCTGATAGTGTTCCTTCTGCTATGCAATTTTTAACTGCATCAATTACTTCATTTTTGTTCAGTTGAGCAGGGACATAATTTTTTTAGCTTTCACATTCTGTACACAATGTTTCATTTCTTATTTTATTGTTTTTATTTGCTGAAAAGATAGTCCTGTTCCAAAACTTTTCACTTTGCATTCATCAGGACAGCAGCAAGAATACCAAATTTCAAATGATCACAATCATTTTCTACAGGATAAAATATTGGCTGGAGGTCGAGTCTGACTAATAGAGGCATTACTGTGAAGAAAGCAATGTGGTACCACAGGCTGTCCAAGCTCTTGGGTAATTCATTAAAAGATCTAACAACTGATCACATTCCTTTTGTTTGCAAAGAAAAAACAGAAGTGTGTGAATATATGCCGCTTCCAGCAAGCATAAATAAGTCACACTATGAGTGCACATGATTATCTTAAACAGTTTGTTCATGTTGGTATTTATGCACTCTAGATTGTTTGGCAAATATTGTCCAATTAACTCTATATGTTTAGTTAGAACAACCAATTCTGGAGACCACAGCAGGTCAGACGGCATCCATGGAGAACAGAAGTTAACGTTTCAAGCCTAGATGACTCTTCATCAGAACTGAAGTGAAGTGTGGAGGGCACAGCTCTGATGAAGAGTCATCTAGACTCGAAACATTAGCTTGCTCTCTCAACGGATGCTGTCTAACTAGCGGTGATCTCCAACATTGGTTGCTTTCAGTACAGATTCCAGCATCTGCAGTAATTTTCTCCTACAACTGTACATGTTTGCTTTATTTCTTTCAAACACAGGCTGGATAAATACACTCTGTACACTGCCTATTATGTACAACCGAAGAAACATGCTGCTTGATCCGATTAGCCAATTTTTGTGACATTTGGGTTATTTACCTGGCATCACATCACACTGAAATTCATGTACAATGCTACTTAACTGCACACCAGACGGAAAGTCTTTCTGGGCTGACAGCACCATCCTGTTTGTGAAAAATACCAGCTAGATCAGATCAAAGATCTGCAGTCCTACCAGTTGTGAGTGTTGGTGGACAGTTAAGCGACAACCAAGAAGAACAGGCTTCACAACTATCTCCATTCTCAATAATGGAGAAGGCCAGCACATCAGTGCAAAACATAAGGCTGAATCATTTGCAACATCTTCAGCCAAAAGTGCTGTGTGGATGATCCATGCTGTCCTTCTCTAGAAGTCCCCAGTATCTTCAGTCATGCAATGACCATGTCCAAAAAGACAGAATCTAACCATTGCTCCTTGACATTCAAACGCATTACCATCACTGAAACCCTAATAATTTACATACTGCAGCAATGGGAACAGATCAAAGGCTGAAAATTTTATGACAAGTAATTTACTTCCTGACTTCCTAAAGCCTGTCCACCATCTACAAAGTACAGGTCAGGAGTATCCCCCACTTATCTGGATGAGTGCAGCTCCACCAACACTCTAGAAGCTTGACAACGGTCAGGAAAAAGCAGCCTGCTTAACTATGCACCCCATAATAACTTAAATATTCAGTCTTCATCATTGATGCTCAGTAGCAGCTGTGTGTACCATACTCAAGATGCACTGCAGAAATTCACCACGGTTCCTTCAGCAGCACTTTCCAAACCACAAAGACAAGCATATAGCAGAAAATTTCACTCTGGGTCACACACCATCTTAATTTGGAACAATATCAGCATTCCTTTTAACATTCATTCACAGAATGAGGGCCTCAGTGGCCAGGCCAGCACTTATTACCCATTCCTAATTGCCCATAGGGCAGTTAAGAATCAACCACATAGCTGGAGTCACATGTAGGCCAGATCAGGTAAGGATGGCAGCTTCCTTCCCTAATGGGCATTAATGAACCACATGGGTTTTCTCAACAATGGACAGATTCATGGTCATTATTAGACTCTTAATTCAGATTTTTATTGAATTCAAATTGAACCCAGGTCCCTGGAACATTAGCTGAGTTTCTGGATTAACAATCCAGTGAAAATACCATTGGGCCATCACATAGCCTCAACTTTCTTTCACTGTTGCAGAGTTAATATCCTGGGACTCCCTCCCTATTAGCACTTTGAGTGTACCTACATCACATGGATTGCAGCAGTTTAAGACACCAGCTGACCACTACCTTCTCAAGGGCAACTAGGGATGGATGATACTCACATCCCAGCAATGAATAAGAAAACATAAGCAAAGGCTATTCAGCTCATTAAGCTAGCTCATTTCCTCAGCTGTCAAAGTTTGTACAGGAGTCCCTCAGTTTGGGATGTAACGCGGCAAGAGTGGCTGGGAACTCATCAGTACATCTCTCTAAATGACTCAATCCTTCCTGGGAGATCATTTCACAATCTTTGTGACAAGCCTTTGAGGCAGGACTTACCTGCTATGAGATGAAACTGTTATTTCAACCTTGGTAATGAATACTTTCCTTTGTGGCTGTGCCTCGCATCTGTGGTCTTTTGCAAGATGACATATTTTTCTAGTTGGACATCCTTTAGTAAGCCTTTCTCTGTGTCCTAGGATCTAGTATCCAATATCCTGGTTTGGATCTGCACACCAGAACAGTTCCCTTGCTTCCCCATGAAAAGGTGCTCTGCATTTCACTAACTCCACTGTGCACTGGGTCTTAGAGAGTTAAGGGTGAAGTCAGCTTGATTTTGTTTCCTTGAGTAAATAGCACTGTTAAAATGTTAAAAAGACTTGAAACAGCAAAGAAAATAATTTCCTCTGATGTGGAGGAATCATTAACAATTTATGTGTCAATTGATTTTGAAGACTATTGGTACTAACATCACTGAATACCCCACAATCAATATCCTGGGGCTACTACTGACCAGAAACTGAACTGAACCAGCTGTATCAATACTGTGGCTACAATAGGTTAGAGACTAGTAAATGCTGACACACAGCGGTAGCAGTGTGGACCCATAGAAACATGGAAGTTAGGAGCAGGAAGAGGCCATTCAGCCCTTCAAGCCTGCTTCGCCATTCATCACAATCATATCTGATCGTCCAACTCAATAGCCTAATCCTGCTTTCTCCCCCATAACCTTTGCTCCCATTTGCCCCAAGTGCTATATCTAGTTGCCTCTTGAATACATTCAATGTTTTGACATCAACTACTTCCTGTGGTAATGAATTCCACAGGCTTTTTGGGTGAAGAAATGTTTCCTCATCTCCGTCCTAAATGGTCTACCCTGAATCCTCAGACTGTGACCCCTGGTTCTGGATACACCCAGCATTGGAAACATCCTCTCTGCATCTACCCTGTCCAGTCCTGTTAGAATTTTATTAGTCTCTTGAGATCCCGCTTCCCC